GCCGATCGATCGGCACACCTCTACTGTCAATACATAAAATAAACTTTTCAGAGCTATTAATGTCACAACGACCTACAGTTCGATGGTGGAAGAACTCATATCTAGAAAGCTCAGTTATCAAAAAAATTCCACTAAAACTAAGCTTTGTGTTTGGCAACAACATAAAAGAGAAACATCCATACATTATCTTACCCCAATTACTTAGGATTATCACTTATCCTGCCTTCTGAAACGGGGCCCAGCTCATCTGCATTGTTGGTTCTGGTGTCTCTCATTTTGAAATCATCACTTTCACTATCTAAAATGAGTGACAAAAAATCTTGAACTTTTTCACAATTTCTAAGTTTTTTAGAGTTACTTGTGTTTCTACATTTGTTTATATAGCCAATAGTTTACCATCATTTGTTCTATCCATTATTCCTCTTTGTTGTTTCTGGGCATCAAATACCAAACTAAATTTCTTGTTCATATATCAGTTGATATGTCAATAAAAGTATTTCCGATAAATGTCAAAGGGGAAGGTTAATTGAAGATTTAAGTTATATAGCTTTTGACTTTGAAGGAAAATCATCAATAGAAATTAAAATATTAGCAGCCTGATAAGTTGAAAAAAGGCAGTGCTACACTTGATGCAGTTAAAGGTTATCCTTGTGGGCTTTCAAAACGCTTGATGCATTGGCAAACCCACAAGTTGCACTTTGTACAAGTTGTTGTGGAAGAGCACACATTCACATATCAAAGGTTGGACATTGGAACACTCTTACCTTAGTAAAGCTGTCTCTGTGGAACAGTCTGTTTTTGATGACCTTTACTACGTCTGTTTTTGCTGTCAGATGCTTTGGCAGCTGTCTAATAACACTGATGACAGCCTATTTACATGTGCTGGTTTCGGTCAAATGATAAGATTTGTGAGAAACACACCAATGAAGATGTCAGATTTTCTCTAAGGTCCCTGGTACTACTATTCTGTTCTTGATTTAATACAGCACGGTGGTCTTCCACAACGGGTTGCACAAAATAGAACATGAGGGTACAAGCACTGTCATTTTTCTAAATATTGTATTAGCTACTTAAGTAAATGATATAAACATTGTAAATAAAACAATCACTGCTTCATAGAGGTATACTGTTTTAAATTTAAAGGAAGGTACAGAGTGTTTTTTCCCTTTTTATGGACCAAAGAAAATTTATACTCGAAATGCACATCCAGGACTATATTAATGGTTGTGTTAAAATACAGAAAAAGAGTTTTTGCAGAATTCAACTTGCTTGCTGATCTGCTGTTGATTTTGCATCAATAATGTGCATATCCGCTTCTGCTTGTTGTAGATTCCATCTTTTCCTCCATCTCTTTTAACCGCTAACACACTGTAGCTTACATAACCATGTTTATGTGTGACTGCCACCAATCATATGTAGACAGACTGAAACTGATTAGACTATCCTTAAGGGAGAGTACGGATTGCAGAGAAGAATAAAAAGCTAAACTTGCACTACAGTCTTTGCCTCACCTGGTTCCATCCATAAGGTGAGCCGAGTGTGGCCCAGCGCTGGACGGTGAATGTAACTCTGTATCTGTTCCATTTATATGACATGTATGGCTTGTAACATTTGATCATTTTTCGGCATTAAAGCCTGTTTTCATATAACCAAATCTCATTATTTCTCAAGGTAATTTACACTGACGGGTTCTGGTCGAATCCTGAAACTGGTTAACGAACCTGGTGGAGCACAGAGACAAAAACGAATGAACTCCAACATGCTCCACATGATTACCACATCCACCCACTAGTCACTTGGTTTGTGTGTTAATGCTAAACATTTTTGTGACAGCAGGCCTACTGATAGTAAATCATGTACATTTTTAAGCATCAGTATCCAGTAATATATAAAAAAAAAAAAAACGTGTCTTAACAATTACCATAACTACAACAATTACCTGAGCAGCCTATTCTAAATTAATTTAGGCCCTTTTTTTGGCATTTATGTTGTATTATTGGTTGGGTGTGGTAATGGCTAAATGTGGCCGGTTTAATGTACCAGGACATAACCACAAGTTGTTTGAGGGCTTGTAACCCACAGACAAACTGACTGACAGTACATGAGATGGATAATGAATACAACCGTATTCATTACGGTTTCATTGTTACTTTTCTGAAAACAACAAATATTTAACTAAAAAGATCGACTTAATGCTTGATAATTCAAAAGTTTTTAAAGTTAGTATGGGTGACCATTTAATGTCGTACTTGTTCTTGAGGATGACATCTGAAAGCTACTCTGAGATGGAATAGGATTCACCAGACACAAATATTATACATATGACACCAAGACTTTACCGATTTTCTGCAGACCTTCCACCCAGATTCGTCTCTCCTGTAGCTCAGCAAGCAGTCTGCTACCACTTTAGCTTTGTGTTCATAATCCATGACCGTTGTCGGAAAATCGAGCTTATCCTGGACACAAAGGCTTTACAAGCAGCTCAGTTGTCGACGCAAAGCTGTCTCTTCTTAGTTTGGAAGAAGGAAATCTACCGGAGTCATGTCAACGCTGAACTGTGTAAGGAAAAGCCGGCTTCTGCTTACGCTAACAGCTACTACCACGCTAACATTACCCCAAATGAATGAAAGGTAGCAGCAACAGCAACGAAGCTGAAGTTAGATTCCGATTCGGGCAATGGCTAAAGGGCGATTCCACCTAATTTTTCACTACCTTGCGCATCTTTAATCTACTCTAGTTAAAAAACTACAACTTCTAGACTCTTCAAACCTGCACTGGATTATTCTGCTCTATTAGCAGAATATGTAAAACCATGTTTGTGATTTGTGAAACCTTTTTCTGACTTCTGAAACTTCAATGAAATGTTGATTTCACCACTTTATCTGGATCTTGGTCACACCAGAACTGCTCCAGTTCCAAAACTGCAACATCTAGAAATAGAAACTTCAAACCTGGACTGTATTATTCTGCTCTAATAGCAGAATATTTAAAACCATGTTTGGGATTTGTGAAATTTTTTTCTGATTTGTGAAACTTCAATAAAGGGCATTTTTAATCATTTTTTTTGCATTTAGATAATATTAGAACTCCTCTAATTCCAGAACCACAACACCTAGAGACTTAAAATCTGGACTAGATTATTCTCAACTAGTAGCAGAATATTTATAGCCATGATTGGGATTTGTTTGAAGTGTCTAGGCGTTGTAGTTTTTTAACTAGAGTAGATCAAGTAGGTAGTGAAAAATTAGGTTCTTTAGCCATTTCCCGAATCGGAAGCTTGAATCGGAAACCAACTTCAGCTTCGTGCAACAGCATCGGTCATAGGACCCGTATTCATGTCTATATGAGAAAGGACCTCGCTGCAGCAAACAGAAAGGGGCGGGAACGGACCACGTCAGTCTCCTACCTTATTTGGAAATGGGACCATTACACTCCAGGACGTGAAGGGGGCGCTATTTCCTATATATTATCCATGGTCTCCCGTTTTTATTTTATTTTTAAATCTGTGATATATTTCATCTTTAGGAAGGAGTTCCACTCTCAGCTTTGAACTTTTCTCTTTTATTTTCTTTAGCGCAGCTAACAGTTTTTAATAAATTCTGTAGCTTTCTGTGTACTTCTAAATCTGCTTCTCAGTTGGAAATTTCCGGGCCAGCTACTGCCTCTAGTGACGTGGGGGTGGTAACACAACTAATATCATTATATTACTAAATTAGAATAACAAAGTCTTTATTTTTTATCAACTTTTAATTTTCGTAAGGAGGTGGAGCTAATTAAATGACCTAAACAAGACCTGAAAGTGGTTCCAGTTTGTTGAAAATGTGGCAAATTTTAAATACTTTGTGTCTTTTCTGGACATTCAGCTCAACTTTGCTGAAAACTCTGGCTATATTTTTCAGAAATGTTTTCAGAGACTATCTTTTCAAAAAACCTAGTGATCTTTGGGTTAGACAACTAGAGGTTGTGTACAGACAATGTTGTGTGTTTTAATTTTCATCTTGGTTAGTTTGGTCATATGAGCTGCAGACTAACACATAAACTTTTAAGAATACCTTCAATGGCAGGTAAAAGAGCAGGTATATGGTGGTGAAACCAAAAACAACCCTGTCTCAACTGTTTGCTGAAAGTACATGGGAGATGGCAAAGAATATTTTTAGCAGAGAGCATCCAATCCCTTTTTCGTCAGTTTGACCCTCTGTGCTCATCAAGGTGTTACTGTTTCCCTCTGGTACTGCTGAGAAAATAAATTTAAGATAAGCTAGTGTAGCACCGGTATCACACAGCTAACTGCGCTACTGGACCAGTTCTAGGCTCTAAGGAGTGGGGAAGCAAGAATAACAACACCAGAGACCGCTGCTTTAATTGCAAAAAGCCGGCAATTTACTGAATGCAAAACACACATGAAACACAATACACAACCCCCCCCCCAAAAAAAGAAGAAAAAGAAAAGTGTATCACTCCTTTTTACTCATTAGTTCACCTAGCTTATTTCAGTAAAACTAATCTAATTTAGTTAGACCAGTCTCTTTTTCCTAGGTTATTTTAGTCAAACTAATTTAAGTTAGTTAGACCAGTCTCCTTTTCTTAGGTTGCACCTATTTTAGGATTCCTATTTTTTTTTCTGAGTTAACTCGTTTTTTTTCCACAGGTAAGGAAATACCCTCAAACAAATCAAAGTGGACCACAATTATTCAATTCACATTCAGAGACATAACATATGAAAATCTAAGCATGACACTTTAAGCTCAAGTTCAAGTCCAATGTGAGTTCAGGTTCTCAGTTCAATGAAAAGCTTCAGTTTTGATTCAGTCCAGAAAAATAATAATAATTTCACCAGTTCTTAAATCAGTTCTTAATCCTGTTCAGTTCGGTTTGAACTAGTTCCTGAAGTTCCTACCGCTCCGGCAGCGAATTATCATACGCAGGAGAGTCCCTCCCTGATATGATGGAGAAGATGAATTGAAGGTCTAGGTCTGGCTCGCCATCTTGAATCCCGTCTGTGAATGTGGACGTCGCACACGGCAGACCAATCTTCGCTCCGACCGAGCTTCCAACCGAACAAAAAAACCTGACCTGTGTAACAGGCCACAACACGACAAAACTCTTTTTAAATCCTTAAATTATACAAATAAATTCTTCTTCATAAACTCAACATATTAACTGGATAACCGTTTATACATTAACCTGATCACAGTTTATAACGGAGCATTTCTTGCAAACAGCTACGTCTTAAGCGTTAGCTTTCCGCCAAAAGGAAAAGTACAACACGGTGAATATGTAAGAAAATAAACACAAAACTCACCAAAACCGATGTAACTCAGTTCTCATAAAATCCCCGTCAGTTTCCGACCAGG